TTTTTAATTTGGGCCTGTATTTGTAATTATTTTCACTTTCTGGGCCCTTATTTGTAAATTCCCCTAAAAAAAAACTAATAATTATCGTAATAATTAATTTAAAACAAAATATATAGGCCTCACCTTTGAAGATTAAAAAAAAAAAAAAAAAAAAAAAAAAAAAAATATATATATATAGTAATAATTTAAATTTTAGATTATACGTATAAAGTTTTTAGAAATTTTAAATTTTAATTAAGATATCTAATTGCTGTTTTATAGTTAATTTATTGAAATATAGCAATACAGATAAGTAATTACCTTTGGTGTAAATTAGCAATTTTCTAAAACAAACGATAAAGTTATATATATATAATTTTTATAATAAAAGCTTTAAAACTATTATAATTTAAAATAAAATAGATTTTATAAGATTACCGGGTAATTCTAATACTGGTACAATCTCTAGATAAGTAGAAATTATATCAACCTAGACTTATAATTATGAATATATATATATACGTATAGTCGAATAGGTAAGTATATATATACTATACTATATATTTAATAGAAATTTCTTACCACAAAATAGCCGGCCAACCGGGCCACCCGGTTACTCGATTTATTTGAAGTAACCCGGTTTATGACCCGGTTACTCGATTTATTTGAAGTAACCCGGTTTATGACCCGGTTAATAATTTTATATAAACAGGTAGAGAAATTAGATTTAGTAATACATATCCGGAATCGTTCGGATACCTCGATTACTGGTGCTTGATGTTGCACATCTTTAAAACATGCATTCGATATTTAACTATCTAAGGAAAATAAAATACGCCATGGCAATAGGTATGATGCGTATGTAAAAACCTGTGGAAGACTAGATTATATTTTGCTTGTTATTTTTATTATATAGTTTATACGTAAGTTGTTCTGGGTCAACGTAAATCTTTATAAGGAAAGTCAACACGAGGTTGATAATATCTGAAACATTAGCGAGATTATGAAACGAGTTTTTTTTCTCTTTGTGGTCGTTAGATAACATGAATCATTATTCACGTAGCCGTTTCGCTCATATATACGTTCTAGAAACGTTCTTTTAACAATTTAACATCCTTAAAAAATTTAAAAATGTGAGCTTCGTTTCTAAAAAAAGTATCGGCCAAATTAAACATGCGAATTGAATTCTGCTAATTTATCCCAATATGAAATATGAATTAATCCTAAATTCAATAAACATCATTCTTCGAAAAGTAAACAATCATTAATTCTTTAAAGAGTGGAAATATATGCTATATTACTTTAATAATCTAGCTAACTCAAAATTTTTGAATATAAATCTAATCAGAAAAATTAATAAAAAAGCTCTTTTGATCGAAATCCACGGATTTTTTAACATACGCGAGGAATGTCTATTTTTGACTAGTTGGCTTTATGAAATTTGGTGATATCTTACGTTCTTTACATCATACACTTATCTACCTATTCTTATAAAATTATTTCTAAGTGGAATGTATTTATTTAATTATACTGTATATATCAACATATAATAAAGTGATAACGATATTATTCCACGCTTGACAGAATTTATACTAATGGTTAGTAAAATGTTCATAAGAAGTTTTTAGATTCTGACGTGAGCATTTCAAGTATTAATCATCATTGCAACAACCAGGGTGAGTTTAAATGTGATAAAAGGAAAACCTCTGTATCGATCGAGCCTCGTTTTATTCGTATTACAACTTTGATTGATGATCCTCATCCGACTTCCATTGGTTTTCCTTCAATTACAAGAACATCCATTGTTGTTAATACTGATTCGCCTAATTCATG